ACAGTAATAATCTCCTGTATCTTCAGTCTGGACTCCACTGATGGTCAGAGTGAAATAGTAGCTAGTTCCACTGCCACTGAATCTAGATGGAGTTCCTGACTGGAGGGTGTTTATGTAATAAATGAGGAGTTTAGGAGCTTCTCCAGGTTTCTGCTGATACCAAGACACACAGTCACTACATCTCCTTGTAAACAGTTTCTCCTTGTTTGATGGATTTTATCGCTGGATTCTGAGTCACTGTCACTTGTCCCCAGATCTCTGAAATAAGACACTTTAGACATTTAGTTGTTCATAGACTGTATAAGAGATGTGATTGTTTATTTTGAAACATAATTAATTACAAAACATTTACCCTGAATGCAGAGAGTCAGAGTCCAGATGAGGATGAGGATGTTGTTCATTGTTGTTGTTGTGTCTTGTGTGATGATGAAGATTGTGTTGTGTTCTGCTCTCAGTCATGAAGTGTTAAACTCACAGCACTATAAACACTCTCAGCGCACTGAAGCATGTGCTGACGATGCAAAGAAGTGGGCAGGATTTACAGCAGCCTGAGTTGCTAACAAACTCATATACACTGTTATAGAACTAATACATTTACACTCTCACAAATATAATTTTTCAGATACAATGTTTTAATAATTTGTGTGACAAGTCATTTTTGTGGATTTTTCACTGGTTCTTATCCCAGTGGTTTATACTGACACATATCAACACGAATGCAGCATCTGACAGAAGTCACTGCAGAAATATCCTCTTCACAAGTGTATTTCTCCCCCGTGCAGTTCTCCCACAGCCAACAGTGTCTGATAATAGGATATTTACTGAGACAAGTAATGAAAAGAAAAGTAATGTTCAGCTGGTCATGTGATCTCAACACGGCTGCCACCATAGAGACTCAGCTGCTCCAGTTACTGCATGTCAACAGAGCATCCAATCACTTCAATAGACTGCCGTACACTCAATATTGCAACACACTATAATATGAATATTATTAGGAATTAAGAATTTTCTGTGACTCATGATGATTGAGCTGCATATGAAGAACAGAAACATAATTATGAGAAACTTTATGAGAAAGAGGTCAAAGGTCACCTCAAAGGTCATAGATTAAATACATTTCTTTTAAAAAAGTGTTATATCAGCACGTCACAAGAGACTGAATGAGAAACATAGGATTGAATCATGTATTGTAAATGAGAGAATAAAGAAGAGAATAAACTCTTCGTCTGATTATGAAAGATTTACATTGTTAATCAAGCAATAACAAACATTTTAAAAAGTATTTTGTGTGAAAGAGATTCATTCTTGCTTTTTGAAAAGCATTTTGCCAAAACTAAACTAAATGAAGTGTCAT